TCCATGGTTACTATGCCCGACAGCTCCGCATATCTTTGTCAAATCATTCCCATAGCGCGCTCTTACTCCGCTGCTATAATTGCAAATGCAATAGAATCCACCGTTTCCTTCGAAATATGTAAAATCAAAACATTTTACTATAAATAAGCACTTCATGAATGTTTTTTTAATTCCTTTCCACTTTGTTTTCCTTCATTCAGCTATCTTCGAAAAACAACTGATAGCTGGCAATGCTGCACATGTTTCCGCAAGGGTTGCAGCATGTGGATTTTTCGTTTTTCGTAGCTGAGCTACGAACTACGAATTACGAAAATTCGGGTTCTAGAATAAGGGGGATAATTGAGGAGAGGTAAGGAAGTGTTGATTGAGAAAGTACATGAAACCAAGGATGCATTGTAACGTTAATTTCAGCGTTTACCAAAAAAAAATTCAATCGTTTCTGTTGAAACGATTCACTTTTTTATCGTTTAGGTAATTTATCAAAATAATTCTATTTTGCTTATTAACGTTAATGCTGAAGCTGTAGCATGCATTTAGGTGCTAGGCATGATACAAAAAAGAAGGTAGTTTCATTTAATGGCATTCCTTGTTTTTGTTAACCATTTGACTTTTAATAAAATTATGACATTTCATCAAATTCATGCTGCCTGATCACTAGAAGAAATATTTTTTTTTTCTTTTAACCAGAAGATTTTATCAGTACATTCAACGATGTGGAATATGATGAACTAGAAAATTATGCCGGCTACATGATTTCGAAAATGGGGTTGACGACTAGGTTTCAGAAAGCATGAAGAAAGTGTATGCTTACATATCGTCGCTTAAAGTACCAAACCGCGTATCGTCGTTCTGCAAAACCGCGTGACTGACATTTTTTGCCAAAAATGGGATTTGCTCACACAAGCTTTTGGCTCAAGCCTTATCCATTCGTCCTGAAATGTGATTTCTTTGTAAAAAAAGAGAACCATTTTGAAATATGAGTGTTTCTATTCTCTACAAAACAATTTATGTAACCTCACATACGCAGTTGTGCATTTTGTTGATACACGTTTATGTACTTTAAACGAGGATCTGTTAGTTGTTTATCGGAGGGCGATCTCTTCAAGCCGACTTCAGGTATTTTGCATAAATTAAGAATTTGTGAAATTTAATGATGATGCGCTAATCACAAAGCCTAATTTTTTGCAAAATCTTATGAGAAATTTAAAAGTAAATTTGAACCGAAATATAAAAAGGATTTATTTGGGAAGAACATCCTTTAGATTCGAATCGCAAGATTGCATTCAAAATAAGAAAACAAAAAAATAACAGAATAATGCGCGCGTGGTTTTTATTACAAAATGAAAAGAACAATTACGATGAAGTCTCCTTTAACAGTTTACATTTTAAATATTTTTAATAAAAAAAAGGAGCGAACCACGTAAGTAAAAAAAGTACCAAACACTGATAATTACCATTAATGGTTTTTAATTTCAAATGTCATTACATTGGTATAAATATGGGAAAGAAAATACTCCGATTTATTGTTTTAATATCATCAAAGTGGCAAGGCCGTTGATAATACTCACAACTTATAAACTTAAAAAAATTTTATTATCCATCAAAAGTTGTTTATTGAAACTAAATACCTTCTTTTTTGTATCATGGTCATATATATAATACTCCTATATTGGCAGTAAGAGCTAGTACCGTCCGAAAACACTACAGTACAGATATATCAATAAACACGTACGAAAGAATAGGAACACATGCGTTTATAAATATGTAAACGTGTACACAACACATATACAAAAACGGCACTCAAGTACACAATACATTGACAAAAACAGTACTAGACTGTCTCGCTTTGATTTCGGAATGCTTACACATTAGCCGTCATCGATTCGCCATCAGTTAGCAAGTGGCGAAACGAACGAACTCAATGAGGTACAACCAAACTTGCTATCGTCTATCCGTGCTAGCTAACTTTGTTGTTGCTTTCACATGCAAAATTTTTCGTTAAGCGACCGGAACTCAAACATAGCGAGCGAGAAGTGGCGAATCGACGACGGCAATTGAGAAGTTAGCTTACTGCCAATAAAGACCCAATAAACATTTGTCTTGGTTAACAATTCTAAAATGATTGGAAAACTAACATTTTTTTCAAGTCTCACCTTCGATAATGAATGTGGAATATGTTAGTATTCGATTTGAGAACTAGGCCATTCTCCAGCAAAACGGAGCCTTCGTTATCCAATGAATTTTTCCTTCGTTCTGAATTCGAAATCCAGCCCATTATCGAATTGAAATTTTAATGAGAGAGAGTGTTTGTATTATATTTCCATTCAAAAATGAGCTGGATTTCACTTCCTCTCTTGTTACTATGGTTTTAATTTTTTTCGAACACATCTCGAATGTATTTCCAATACATTATGAACGTTGGAAAACTAAGGTTGGTTATGAGTTCGTTCTCAGTTCGATATTTATATTGGATATCGAAGGTAATTTTCGAACGTTCGCCAAAATGTTTATAGGGGAAGTATTACATATAAGATCATGGTGCTAGGTGTTTATAGTGAGTTGGCAATGGCATACAACAACAACTTTTCGTTGATTTATTTTGTTTCGCTGTTAACGATTGAAGATTTATTTCGTTTCGACGTTAGCGATTGAGTTTTGTTTCGTTAATTCAGCTCTGCAACGAAACGAAATTATTTTGACAAGCTATTTTTGCGCATCAACAAAACGAAATCGATTCATATAGTTTGTTGAGCATCTCTGCATAAAACCTGTTGACTTTTAACGTTCCTAGCAACTTCCAAAAGAAGAAAATGTATATTCCTATTATCCGCGCAGAATATTATTTATATGTGGTATATGAAGGAATTCCTTCATTTTTACTAAGTGACCTTAAATATATCGTCCCACCTACTACGTTTGTGTAGGCCTCAACTAAGTTGTAACCCATTTGCAAGCGCTAAGCTTGTCCCGTCCGTTTAAGATTGGATTGTTTCGGAAACTCCAACACGTTTTCTGATGCCACAGTCGATAAGTCAAGTAGACCTTTCGTAGTCTACAGCGACCTAAAAGTGCTTTAATAAAAATTCTCAATTTAGTTTTTGAATGTTTAATAAGATTTTCTACACTTCTGCACTCCAAATTGAATAGGAAAAGAAATTTAGTGGAAAGGGCTAAGAAATCCCTAGCAGCATAGTACAAGTTCAAAAGGACATTTGGAAAGCAATGGGAATTGTTGCGGCGCCTGTGGGATGTATACCGCAGTCATCAGACCAATTTCCAACCCACTGGTCCTTAGTATGGTGGAAGGCTCTAGAAAAAGGGAATAACAGGAAAATAATAGGAAAATTGCAAAGACTCGCATGCCTAAGGTCGAGGCCACGCAATGAGCGGCAAAGCGGTGAGCGGCGCCATACAAAAACACCGCTCAGCCGCTCAGTGCATGGCCACTTCAACAGTATTTCATATGTTTTAATTTTGAGCCGCTTTGCCGCTCATTACAAAATGCGCCCTCAGGCTCAGTGAGGGCCAATACATGGAAGACAACCAATTTCGAGTATGCAGAAATACTGAATGAAATAAAAGGGGGCCGGCTCAATGCAATTAAAGCTGACATAGAAGCTAGCACTGATTACATTACGCCTGCTTGGGAATTCAATACTAGAGTTCCTATGAGGTTCCCGGCCAAAGAAGAATTGGATGCAGGAATAACAGTACCAGAGGAAGGACTGCAGATCAACCGATCCTGACATCATCTGAGTGACAGCAGCGTCTTTCAAACAAAGATCTACGCTATAGAAGTGGTGGCTAGTCTTTTACGTAGTAGTATGGTTCCAGAAGATTGAGCCACTATCTTTGTCGATAGTCAAGCAGCACTGAATACAGTAGGATCTAAAATAGTGATATCTGGTATTCCATCGTCGGTCGCACAAAGCTAACGTAACTGAGCCATATCAACGTCACTCTATGCTAGGTCCCCGGACATAGCAATATTGAAGAGAATGAGTCGGCTACTGAGATGGCCAGATACGGAAAATGTATGACTAATATATTGTTTTATAAGCAGGAACGTTGCGAGACCACAAGATTATTAAGCCGCGGCTTAATAGGAAAAAGGCGAGGGACCCACTGAAGCTCAATAGGTCTGCAGTAAGAGTCCTTATCCTTGTCATCACAGGACACTATGCTATAGCACCAATGCTTAAATAGTGTCGAATACCAACAAGTAATCTCCGCAAAAGCTGCTGATATGAGGATGAGTCAAATTGACCACCTTCTGTGTCGACGTCCGGGTCTAAAGTCGAAGCGCCTGAATCACTTGGGTTCACACTTCTTCAACAGTCTGAGCGAGATAGCGAAGTTGGAACTGTTGGATCTCCCCGGCTTCATTAGGGATAGTAATTGGTTCAGTAGAATGATTTGAAAGTACTTAGCTACTCTCTCGGTTTTGGGTACATGTCTCCGCCTGACACTCGCTTGAAGAGGACACTCACAATGGACAATTCTGTATCAGAGTAGGCTAACCTAGCCTACCCTTTGATGTTAGACCTTAGCAATAAGAACGTTCGCTGAACGGTTACAGTAAAATTTGTTATAACTGCTTCCAAGTAAAGATCATTGGCATGAAACCCTCCTCCCCTTTTGGTTACGCGGTCTTACCAGCATGGACTGTTATTTTATGGACATTTTATTTTTAACTTTAAAGCCCAATAGGTCTGCTGTGGTATGCCAAGTTTTCAAAGTAATCTGAAGGTATGTATTTAAATTATTCCTTTCGGCATTAATGCGAATAGTGACACAAAACACAGCTCCTCCGTTATCCAAATGCCTAAAGGTGTATACAAAGAACTTGACTAAGCAAAGAACTGACTTTAGAATATCGAAACCAGTAATAACTCTCACGCTTTAGGGGACTTAATTGTATGAGGGGCGGACATACTTCCAACCCTTTATCTGCTTCTTACTATTTTTTACTTATTTTGAAAATATCCGGCACTTTGCAGAGCTCGGTATTGTAAAGCAAAAGTCGCTGAAGATCGATGTAGATCTAGAAAAGCAAGAGGAAGCTACAAAAGAACTGGAGCGTGACATAGAAATATTCTTAACGAAATTGGAGATATTGAATAAAAAAATAAGTAAGGCGCGCCAGCAGCATGATACCGAGGAAAATGAATGCCAATTGGAGCACACGGAGCTAGTACTCAAATTAAAGGTAAGCCATTAACGAGGTTTCTTAATGCTCTCAGCCTCTAACAAAACGAATTTCTATTCAATTTACATAGGACCACGAAATGAATGTTTTGAATATGGAAGCCGAAATTGATGAGCTGCAGGATGAGATCGAGCATTATAAAGACTTGGTATTGGATAAACATCGCGAATCACTCTCGTGGGAGACCAAATATAAGCTCATAGAGGAGACGCTGCGTTGGCGCAAGGATGAAACGAATCTCACCAGCGAAATCGGTAATATGAAATCGGAGATACATCGCATGCGTATACGTTTTCAACAGCTGATGCGCGCTCAAGAGAAGCTTGCACAAGATTTGCAACATGGTGTGGCACATCGTGAGCACATCTATGTTGCCGCCTCGGCAAAGAAGTTGGCCGAGGTGAAAGAACAACGCATGAAAACTGGTATTTCATCCGAGCAGAAAGTCATCGATTTGCGTAATCGTTTGAAGAAGATACAAAATGAGATAAGCATCATTAACGATCAGCAACTTGTAAAGGTTACTCGCGAAAACGAACGCATACGCGCCGATCTAAATCGTTTATACAACAATATTGAAGGTGAAAAGGCAAACGACGAAGAGTATCGCCAGAAGATTGATGAGTGCATGTTGTTGAAACATTACAATTTAGAGCGCATTGTACGCAAACAAAATCGGGCAAAGTCCTATAGGCGTTTGGGTGTGGGAACTGTAACACCGAAAATGCGTTCCGATTCAACGATAAGACAACTGGTACAAAAGCAAATGGAAATCAATGATAATCTCTTGGACGTAGTGCAGATTTTGACCAATGACTTTGCAGAAAAGAAAAAATTCTTTGCAAAAATTATCCAAGTTCTAAGAGACTAAGAGGTATATACATACATATATATCTATATCATTTTTCAGAATATTTGCCTTTAATTAACGATTTTTTTGGTAAATAAATATATTTCGGACATCGAATNATACTTGCGAAGAAGAGGAGGAATGTCAAATATTAAAGTAAACAAAAATTGACGCTAGTAAGGAAAATAGGTTTGTAAAGGTATTTTTAATAAAATATTCAGTTATAAATATATTTAAATGGCCTAATATGTGCTGCAAAAAAGGTGACCACGGTGGCACAGAGAAGAAGTTTAACTTTTCCTCGAGTTGTGTGAATAACAAGCACAACCAATTTAACAGCTACCGAGCTTTGATTGAGATTATATTTATATGTAAACGTACTTTTATGCTTTGCCGTTCGCATATGTATACACATCAAATTTCATGAGTACCTAGTACTCACGCCTTTTTTTTGCTTAAAAATTAGTTGTGACCAAGGCATATCAAACAGGTAGTAGCATTAGAGCAAAAACAACATTTGCGTGTATTTTTTTGTTGCTTCTGATATCGAAAGTGTCAAAAACTGTTGATTTTTTTCTTCTAAATCAAAGCATGCCATGTGAAATACAAAAAAAAAAATAAAGAATAAAAAATTGAAATTGGAAAAAAAATAAAATTGTTGCCACTTTTTTTCTTAGTAAAATTGCTTGCTTCTCGAAGCATTGATCCGTCCTTTGCAAGGCCCAGCCATCAGCGCACAGTGGTCAATAAATGGAATTTAATGTTCATAATTCACTGGAGCCTCCATTTCTCAACCAATTTGATATTTTTTTTTGTATTTTAAATCAAAGCTAATTAAATTTTCAAGAGGCTAGTTGATCCCGAATTTGAATNTTCATTGAGCGAAACGTTAAATCAAAATGTCACGCAGAACAAAAATTGGAAATTGAGTTAGCTTCATTCGCACGCCGTTCAATTTCGGTTGGTCCCATACAAGTTGTATGTGCATGAGAAATTTTTGACAGTAAATTGGCGGCGTGCGTGAATATTAGGTTAGCCTGTTAAAAATATTTTTACTATTTACTTCCCGCCCATGGTGCAATTATTGCAAGTACATATTAGGGCTATTCGCGATCCGGTGCAAATGGCCTAGCATCATTGCATTGCAAATTTGTATTGCAAATTATTTGCAATACACAAACAAAATACACGCATTTGCATTTGCCATGGCTTGACAAATTTGCAATACCGAAAATCCATAGCATAAAAATGCTATGCATTGCAAATCTGGTTGACATTTCTATCAGCTGATTAAAAAAGTTTTACCATGACAGTTTAATAAAGGTTGCTCACAATCCATGGCATATTTCTGCAATTGCATAAATTTGTCAGCTCTTATGCACCGAATCGCGAATAGCCCTATTGTCTTCCCAGAGAGTATTGCTTCACATCGAAATTCGTGCTCTATTAGTTTAATTTTTAACCGACTTCACAAATTTTATGTATGTTACCGCATAACTTCGGACCACGTTAACCGATTTTGAATTGAAGTCGNAAAAAAAAAAATAAAGAATAAAAAATTGAAATTGGAAAAAAAATAAAATTGTTGCCACTTTTTTTCTTAGTAAAATTGCTTGCTTCTCGAAGCATTGATCCGTCCTTTGCAAGGCCCAGCCATCAGCGCACAGTGGTCAATAAATGGAATTTAATGTTCATAATTCACTGGAGCCTCCATTTCTCAACCAATTTGATATTTTTTTTTGTATTTTAAATCAAAGCTAATTAAATTTTCAAGAGGCTAGTTGATCCCGAATTTGAATTTTTATTTGTTTATATTAAATTTTTTAGTGCAAAGTGCAGAAAAGGTGCCAATATTGAAGAAGATCGGTTATCCTGTTCCAGCTAATAAAAGTTTCATAATAAAAACTAAGTAAAAATAATTGTAGGGTTATCCCAAAACGAAAAAAAAATTAAAAAGTTTGAAATGTTATAAAAAAAATTTCACCTAAAGTATTTTTTTTTTGGTTTTTATAAAAATGTGCATTTATGGCAAAATATGTAAGAATATGCACTAACAAATCGATGTCATCTTAACACAAAACTCTTGATTCGCAACATTTGCTAATCTTTAAGTTCCTATGACTTACCAAAAAAAATTTAAATGCATAGAAATCCGGGCCCTGGTTATTAATTTTCCATGCAGTATACTTTTAGGCCCATTGCTTTTCATTTAGAGAATTTTGGCGAAGAAAATTTTGCGTAGCGATTGTCAGAATTCCAATATAAAAACCCGAAGCGAGGAAATGAACAAAACTCTTTTTTAACAATTTTATTACTTTTGAAATTGAGCGCATCTTGTGTATATAGAACTTCTTATTAAACAAGTCATTTTTTAGCAAAAAAACATAACCGACTTCAATTCTCGTATACAAATTTAGGAATACCGTTAATTTTTTCATGATCCAATGATCGGATCTAAACCAAATTACGGGACGACCCTTGAGAGGTACCACATTTCCGATAAAAAAAGAACTATGGAAATCGGTTCACGTGGTCCACAGTTATGCGGCAGCATACATAAAAAAGAAAAAAATATTCCGTCGAATTGATAACCCTTTCCCTTTTTTGAAGTCGGCTAAAAATGTTTGAGGTCTTTGTTAATTTTATGTAAATAGAGTGCAATTTATGAAACTTTAAAGTTTATTTATTTATTATATACTATACATAAAACTTGCATAAATGTATTTAAAGAGCATATTATCTGAATCGAATTTTCTGAAGTATAAACCCCTAAATGAATTCCTGGTCGCGCCCCTGATGTATTTTATATTGGGAAACACTTTTTCGTAGAAAGGGTATAGAGTTAATTGAAAATTAATACTTTTCGATCGAAAAACCTTGTTTCTCTTCAGAAGACTTTTACCATATTTTAATACTAGCGACTTTTTATTGGCCCCCCTCATTGCGTTTTTTTAGGATTGTAGAAGGCCTATAAAAAATAGTTAATATTAAAAATAATGAAATAAACAATTGGGTGTTATGGGGCATCCATAAAGAGAAACAGAGTTTTCCGATCGAAAAATACTGATTTCAAGAATTTCTACAAAAAAAATTATTTTTCTCCATATAAAATACAAGGAAATCTTTATGGGCTTTGAGGCAGTTCTAAATATCTTCTTCCTTTTAACAAAAAATACGAGTATTCCTATTTTTCCATTTAAGAAAATCCTAACAGGCGAGAGATTGAGATTTTAAACTTTGTTCCCGCTTAATTGATCTGTACTTTGCAAAGACATGCTGAGAGTGGCTGCCGAGGAATTCTGTTTCCTACACATACACAGACTAAATGGTCTTAACCAGGTACCGAGTGCAAGAAATATGATCGAAACCAAAGGTCGTTCTCGTTGTTTTGTTCCCAAGAACGCTTAAAAATCCAAGCCAAAATGAGAAAAAACCTTCGGGAATGTTTTCACAAAAACGAAAGTGAGTAGGCTGTCGAGAAAGTTCTCAACGGGAATTATACAAGAAAAAACTCTGTGGAACGTTCCCACAGAGAACAAATTGCGAACAATATTTTCGGGAACATTTCTAAAAGAACCAAAAAAAAGGCGTGAGTACTAGGTACTCATGAAATTTGATGTGTATACATATGCGAACGGCAAAGCATAAAAGTACGTTTACATATAAATATAATCTCAATCAAAGCTCGGTAGCTGTTAAATTGGTTGTGCTTGTTATTCACACAACTCGAGGAAAAGTTAAACTTCTTCTCTGTGCCACCGTGGTCACCTTTTTTGCAGCACATATTAGGCCATTTAAATATATTTATAACTGAATATTTTATTAAAAATACCTTTACAAACCTATTTTCCTTACTAGCGTCAATTTTTGTTTACTTTAATATTTGACATTCCTCCTCTTCTTCGCAAGTATAATCGATAAAGCTAAGTTGGACACCAAAAAGTTATCGGTTTAATCTGAGATATTTTTAATTATAATTTTGCATGGCTAATCTCTTTTTCTAATAACAGATTAGGGAGTCAAGCTCGAAAATTAGGATAATATTTTTATATATAAAGGCGATTCAGTTACACACATACAAATGTAGGTTAGGTTAGAAATTAAACATTAATTTCACTTAATTTTATTCATTTTGCTGATTTAATTTTTTTATTCATTTTCATTTTTAATTCTTTTAATACATGACATTATCGGTATGATTGATAAAATATACTTGTATATACTTGTGACTCAAGGGCGTTAAAATATCTTGGAAACACCGCATCAGTTATTGTTTTTGAGCTTATAGTTTGAGCATTTCTATTTGTATATATTCCTAAATTTACTAAAATAGACTACTAAACCTATGCCTAAAACCATCTACGAATATCAAAACCAGGGCATGAATCACGTATGACGACATTCGTCTGAACGATATCGTGTCGAGATTGTCTTGCTTCATAAAAATCAAAAATTGTTTGATCGTTTGTGCGATATCGTCAACTCGATTCCAGTTTTGCTTCACGTAACAGTAACTGTAGCCGTCATCGATTCGCCAACAGTTAGCGAGTGGCGAAACGAACGAATACAATGAGGTACAACCAAACTCGCTATCGTCTATCCGTGCTAGCTAACTTTGTTGTTGCTTTCACATGCAAAATTTTTCGTTAAGCGACCGGAACTCAAACATAGCAAGCAGCGAAGTGGCGAATCGATGACGGCTATTAACACGTAACCGCAACACAAATGCATAAATCAGTGTTTTGGCAACATCGTTTTGTCAGTATCGTTTGAAGGACTATCGTTTCAAAGTTACGTGATTCATGCCCAGTTGCAAAAAATTAGTCCATACGTATTTATGTACATACATAGGTACAAAACCGTATGCATGTGCTGAGTTTAAATAATAGGAAGTAATAATCAATTGAAGCGCATTTCCTCTTACTATGCATATGCCTAAATGTATGCAACCATTTGGCAAGCAAACACAGGGTGCTTCTAATGAAAATAAAAATTTTATGCTGAAATACACATGTTAAGCCCTTCGAAATTTTG